CTGAGACCGGGACTAAGACCGGTCTAGTCCTGGTTTAGTCCTGCTTCAGTCCTGGTTCAGTTCGGCATCACAGTTTAAGTCACGAAAACGGGAAACGTCCGTTATCTGTTTTTTCCATTTTTCATTTAAACACAAAATCGAAAACTGAAAAAAACAAACAAACAAACCTTTATCTGTTTTTTTACTTTGATTTTGGACACAAACAATGAAGAAATTAGTTGTTTTTTCATTTTCAAATTTTTGGTTTTATCTTGAAAAACAAATAAACGAATGTCACACCGATTCAGAACCTCCACCTCCACAGAAAACAACTTTGAGAAAACAGAAATGAATCTCGCGCGAAGAGAAATCAACTTTCGACTTTCATCTTTTCGAGGTTGTGTCTGCCTCCTGGTGGCTGTTTTGATCATTTTCTCGCTCGCAGCTAATATCTACACATGTTTCATCGTGTGTGTGTTTATTCTGGGATTATTTTGATGCCATGATAAAACGTGACTCTAAAATCTGAATGAAACAAAAGTCAGTTTGGCGTAATCTAGAACCTTTAACCCAGTGGACGTGTTTGAGCTCGTGTGGCTGTTCTCCCCTCCGCCCTCCCCCCTCCCCTCTGCCCTCTCGGTGGGCACGTGTGGCGGGGCGGGCGGTATTGGCAGGACGTCGTGTTGATGGGGCATGGATGGAGCCGAGTGGGAGGTAATGGGGCAGCATTGATTTGGATGGATAACTCCGGAGCGTCCGCAGAGAGGCCTGCCCCTTCCGGGAATCCTCTATGGAAAAATGAATGGAGTCGAGTGGAGCGTGCAGGAGAATATTTTTGGTTTAGTTCACGCCGTCGTCTTTTGCTGCCGTCATATTAAATTATGACAACATTACGTCTTTTTTGTTTCGTTGGTCTGCGTGTTGCGTTGGGTCGACTCGACACATGTGGAAACATAATGGACCTGTAAATAAATTAACACTATTTCACTTTTCCACAACCTGCTTGTCTCTATGGAGATGTTATTGCTTTGCCTGGAATGTTCCACAGTATGGCATTAAAAGTGTCTCTCTAAACTCACATATTTAATTGTATTTGCTCAAAAATACCCTAGAAAACATGAGGTTTTATACGGGTCAATGCACCTTTGGATTTTGTACTTTACACCAAAACTACGCAGAATTTTGATGCTCTAAACATATTTTTTTAGTTGTTTTTCCATGACAATAACAATAAAATTCGAGAAAAAAACGGCCTCATAATCAGTGTTGGGGACTTGCAAGTCGTGACTTGAAACTTGAAACTCAAAGCAGACGACTTGGACTTGACTTGGACTTACGGGCCAGTGACTTGAGACTCGACTTGGACTCGCCTGTATTTGACGTTGGACTTGACTCGGGACTTGAGGTCAAAGACTTGAGACTTACTTGAGACTTGCAAAACGACGACTTGGTCCCACCTCGGCTCATGACAGATCCGGACGCTCATTTATGAAGCGTACAGACAAAATATTAAGTGCGTTTGATGAGAATTCCACCAAACTTTTCTAAATAAAATGTGTTTCATATGAACTTTGCACAAGAAGTGGTTTAACAAAGACTTTTAATATCACAGACATGATTTAACCTTTATTTTTTATTGAACTGTATCGAATAGATTTGAAATATATATCGAATCAAAAGTGAACTGTATCAAGGTATGTATCATATCATGGCCTATGTATTGAGGTATGTACCGTATCGGTGGCCAAAGTATCGAGATATGTATCGTATCAACAACGTCTTAATGACACCAGCCCTACTAACTACATTTGATCAATTTATAAAGAACTTGAATCTCAATCTATTAATTATCCATATGTCTTGTAATATTTGTGTGTACTGTTGATATGTTTACATGTACATTTGCTTAAACTTATTTGTATAGATATATGCAATAAATGTATATATTAATGACTTTACACCAAAACGTAAATGCTCAAATGTTGAACCTGATCATTTCTACTAGTGACTAGACTCATAAACTTTTTGTATTACAACAAAAATCTGCATTTTAACAATAGTAATTTTATTTGTCCTCATCTGAAACACAGAAGTTGTTGTTGTTGGTTGTACATTTATATTTATTTATAATTATGTGTTATTACACGTGTCTCTTGCTCATTTTTGCTACTTATTTAGTATTTATTATTACCATTTCTATTTTTTTACGCTTTACTATGATTTTATTTTGTGATGTTTGAGCTCCTGTGTCTAAATAATTTCCCTTGTGGATCAATAAAGTTGGTCTAAGTCTAAGTCTGAGTGTAAAACATTGAGAGTTAATCTGAATGACTCGATGACGGTTGTCTTCGTTCTTCGCTCCTCTGAGGCTCTTCGCTCTGTCACTTTGGCTTGTTCGCTTTGCCTCTCAGCTCCACACTGAGAGCAGTTTATTGAAGTGAAAACCAGTGAGCAGATCTGACATGACCTCATTCTCTGAAGCCTCTGCACGGAACAGGACGAGGGGGGCGGGGCTGAAGGACGACACCTGCTGGACAACAAGTGTGACTGCACACTGTACACTAGGCTGCATCGTTTGCCCCAATGTCAGAAATTCAACTTGTATCCAATTTTAAACTGTGACAAAACCACTTAAAAGAAAATCTGTGGAATATTTACTGAACTGAATAAAATCTACTGGATCCACCAAGTCTCTTAAATTCCATCCTAACAGTGTCCATAAAACTCTGGCAGAAAAATCAGTTTTTCTCAAATAACTTTAAAAATAATCCATTTCAGGCCATGGTGTCAATGAAAGTTGAATATAAATGTTGCTATTGCACATCTTTTGGAAAAAATTTTATATGTCTATCTTTATAACTTTCTAAGATTCTGAGTATTTATTTATAATTATCCAGTAAAAACAAAGTCCAAAGATGAAATGAGAGACATAAAGTTTGTTCTTTCTGTAGTGATCAGAGTCTGTATAAAAAAGTGGAGTAATTGAGTGTGACGTCACCAGAGCGTCTCAATGACAGGTACAGCTCAGGGTTTCAAGAAAGAATAAGGATGTTATGAAAGAAAAACAGATTTTTAAACTCCAGAGGTTTGGTGGACCCAGTAAACATTAAGAGAATTTCAGGAAATTTCTCACGGAACTTTACTTTGGCAAGTGTAAACAATTAACTAGGCACACACTGATTTTCAATTTTTATTTTTCAAAAAGTTGGACAGATGATGCACCTACACTAGGGGTGTGAGAAAAAATCAATTCAGTGATATATCGTGATACGTCATTGCACAATTCGTGAATCGATTCAAAATGGATCTGAATCGATTTTTTAATTAGGGGTGTAACGATATCCAAGTCTCACAATACGATATCATCACGGTATGAACTTCACGGTATGATATTTATTGCAATATCGTGGGAAAGCTCACGATATGTTGGGGAGGCTCACGATGTAACAATATCCAAATCTCTCATCTCACGATATGATATTTAAAACTGTTAATATGCTTCTTTTTCCTCTTAAAATGCCTTAAGACCTAATCCAAAGAACTGAGACTTAAAAGTGTTAGAACTGTTATTTCTTCTTGTCGTCTGCACTGAAATGGAGCAAAGGATCATGGTCTATGTAGTTCCCTCTGTCTTTTTTTTTTAGATATTTCTGCATCATAACTCTTCATTTAAGCAGAGACTTGTAATTCAATATATTGTGATGGTCCATGATATTATTGTGAGAACTTTGACGATACGATATCACGATATTTCAGTTATTGTTACACCCCTATAAATTATATTTCATATAATTGTGTCTTGAATAACTGTGTTATTAGAAGTAATTATTGATAAATTGCAATATATCATCCATCATTCTAGTATCGGTATATATCGTGATATATTGAATCAGGGCAATAATTTTGTGTGATTGTTACTGTACTTTTTCTGCCCTGTCGATAATTTGACCACAACCTGATGATGAACTGAAGATGGAAATTAACCACGTTGGCGATAATCTCTATATTTACATTTTAAAAGTTCAATAATATGTGCTGTCCCTTTACAAATACATAAAATAAAATAAAAATCTCCTAAAATCCCGTCTCAAACCTCGGTTCTGGAGCACTGCAGTGAAGTTCACCTTGATAAACAACTGCAAACCTTTATTTTATTCATCAAGAAATCACACCGGATACACAAATAATTTTAATAACAATTTACCAAAAATCAAACATATTTCTCTAGTCTGCATGTAGCTCACAAACGTTTGCAAAATATATTAAAACATCTAGAAACTAAGAGCATACATGGTTAAAATCCAGCCAAAATTTACCCACAAACAGAAAAAATAAAAGTCCAGTTAAAAAAACAAACAAAAAGCAAACACAACAGGTGATTTCTCGTTAGCTTAGCGCACTACAAACGTAAACACATTTAACATGAGTGAGGTTTGATTCTGTCCACTAGGTTTGTAAAAGTTAAAATGATGTACTTTCTATCAATCAAATCACTGTAGGATAAAGAGTGAGTGTCTAGCCCCCCCTTGTGGACGTTCATGTTACTGCAACACAAATGTTTTAGGTTAACATGAGATGAAAAGCTGCGTAGCGTTTCCTAACCACATTTTTTTTAATGCTTAAAAACATCTGTCACCATCAAAACAACCTGCTTCAGTCCCACCCCACAAACCACCACTGCCCTGGACCGATGTACCAGTCGTGTTTCCAGAAATGCAGAGAAATTACCCAAAAAAACCCATATTGATCGTGTTACTGACTTTTTCCTGACATTGCTTCAGTTTCAAGATCAGTTTAGAATTAAAATAGTCTTCTTATGCAATCAAAACCAGAGAATTTAATTAGTGTTGTAGTCAAGAGTGCACTAATCGAGACCAAGACCAGTCCGAGACCACAGAGTCCCAAGACCAGGACAAGGTCGAGATTTTTCAAGGTCAAGACGGTATATATATATATATATATATATATATATATATATATATATATATATATATATATATATATAATATTTGTATAAGCTGCTCTTCAGGACAAAATAAGTCTAATATTTATGTTTTTTGTATGATAATCAGGAAGTGTGTGGTTGCTGCTAGTGTCGGCATGACGTCAAATAAACTCTGGCTTCAGAAAGTTGTGAAAAATGCTTATAAATTTGAAAATACAGATAGAAACACAACTAGTACTTACACTTTTACACTTAATGACCAAAGCACCAAAAAAAAAATCAAACAAAAAACAAAAAAATCAACAAAAACTGTTAGAGACAAACAAAACCACCGCTCCCATTTAAACATCTTTACAGCGGGCACCTCCAGTACATTCACTTTATCTCTACATATATATAAAACACGATATATATATGTTTTTTTTATTATATACATGCATTTAGACGTCCCTCGTGCCTGGGTCAAGGCTGTGGTGGAGTCACTGCTGTGCTACAAGCGAAAATTAAATAAAAAGACAAACATAAAATTTTTTTTTTTTTTAGTTTTTTTTTTTTTTTGAATATTGTATTAAAAGTGTAAAATTTGCAAATGCTTATAAGAAAAGATATGAATTTTCCCATTTATAGATGTGCTGTAGTCATTTAAACAAACACTGATTTATTTATTTTTATTTTTTCCACTGTATGAGATTTGGTTTTCAGGTCTAAATATGATTCTATACCATTGCGTTTTTGTACAAATTTTATGTATTTAAAAAAATATTTTAACTAACAACATTATAGTTGAAAATTAAAGAGGTAAAAGCATCAGCTGTATTTCTAACTAAATAAAATTCAACTTGGGTAATTTGGCAATGCACTAAAATCATTCTAGTTCATATAAAGCAATGTCACGCTTCACCAGAAGATGGCAGCGTCGCTACATAATCTGTTCCCACACGCAGCTTTAAAGAGGAAGAAAGATTTTAAATCCATGGGGTGTTAACATAGCCTGATTCATCTCTGCCAGGTCAGACAGTTTCACTTCGTAGAAACTGTCTAACCTCGCAGCATTAGGATTCATTCGCTCGACGGTCGGTGGGTACTTTTTTATTTAACCAATCACTGCTGTTTGGTCGTGACGTTTGTAATGCACCAAATCCCGTAGGAAGAAGAACAATAACGTCTTTCCCCTTGATAAAATTCACCAAACTTTCTCTTTGTTCAGGCTTTAAATCCTCGATCTCGGGAATCGTTGCCAACACAGAATGTCTGTCTTCGTCTACATCCATCTCGACGCTTTGTTTACTGTTGTGCTGTTCCACAAAAGGGACACAGACAGACACCACGAGTTTGACGTCATGACTTCACGGCTCTTCGCTGATTGGTCGGTGCGCCGTCTACAAGTTCCGGGATTCTTGCAAAACGTCTAGTGTATTCTGATTCCTGAACTAGTCGCTGGAGAGAAATGAAATAGAGCTAATGTGTAACGTATTTAGATCCACAGCGTTTACATTTGCCTTTTATCGTTTTGAAAATACTGTATTCGCAAAAAAAAAAAAATGCATTAATGTGTTTTATAGGTTTCCCTTTCGATTTTGACGCTCTTAGTCCACATTGGATCAGGTTTGTGAAGTTGTAGAGTAAAGTTTTTCTATATTTATGGAGAATTATCGTGTATCTTATAAGAAGGATTTGAATAGGGCCACATAGCGATCACTAAATTACTCAAACATCTATGGATGACATCTAAATCCTCTTCAGGCATGTTTTTTGACAAGGGAACAACGTTATAATATTGTAGAAAGCTAAAAAAGTATAAAAAATATTGTTGGTAAATGCTTTTTGCATCATGCAGTGGAAAACAAGCTCTGTAGATTTGTTTATTAAAAGGTGCATTGTGTAGCTTTTCTGGTGGAGGCTCTGTCAAATGCTTGTCTCTACGGAGATGTTATCACTTTGTTCAGAATGTTTCACAGTATGGCATTAAGTTACAGGTCAGATCTGTGTAGAGGAGACCCCGCTCACAGTCAGAATGTTGTTTTTCTCGGTATTTTTGAGCCATAAAACCACATTTAAATTGAATAAATGTAAACTAGAGCTGTTTAAAAGTCATACTGTGGAACATTCCAAGCACAGGAATGACATATCTTTAGAATCAAGCAGGTGAGGGACCCCCCAACCAGGAAAAATTACGCAATGCAGCTTTAAATTCGCAGCACAGTTTAACCATACAAGGATTTGATTGGACCCATTTTTTTTCGCAAAGCCACCCCCAAAACACACCCCGATTTGAGCCACAAACTGAACCACACCACCACCATCGGCCTGAGCCCAGAGCAGAGCAGAGCAGGGCATTCTGGGTAAAAGGAGAGGGAAAAGGGGGCGGGGTTTAGGGGGAGGAGCGTGCACTGGGTCAGGCGCTGGTCAGATCCACGGTCGATCGATCATTCCTGTCGAAGAGAAGTGTTTTGTTTAAGGATTTGTAAAGACTTTCTGTTTCAAAATAAAGACAACAAGGCATAATAATGTGTCATGTGTAATAATGTTTGAGTAATTCTTTATTTTTATTACTCTGTTTACATCTCCTGTTCCACCTTGTGATGTCATGAAGCGGAAATCTTCAAGTCAACAGCTCCTTTTACCTTTAGTTTACAAGTTTACATCGGGAAATCCAGGGCTGAAACGATCCAATTGATTCTAGTACAGTTTAAAAACACAGTGGAGCACTTCCTGTATCACCGCATGACATCACAAGGTGGAACAGAGGCTGTGCCCAAATGTCCACTCAAGTCCCTAAAACCGTGACTCTGGCTCTGGGTGAAAAAAAAAAGTCTCTAAACTCTAATAAAACTTTCGTGTCTTCGTCATAGTCGTGTTTTATTCAGAATCAGGATCTGCAGAGCCATAAACCAGTGCTTTTTCTCAGTTTAAGAAGTTATATTTACACCATGATCTTCCCCTGGCACACCATTATCTAAATTGCGGTATATTTCTGTCTAACTGGTGCCTACCGACCTTCATAGTCTCATCACACCCGCTTTATAAACCTCCGCCTTTGGAAAGAGTCAAGGGCCTTGAGCACTCAAAGATCACACTATGTTCACTTTTCAGTTCCCCCCGGTCGTATTATTGATGGTAAATAAACTCCTCCTGCTTAAGACTCCAGTTGGTCTCCAGGCTTTTACTTCCTTGGACAAGCTGAAAACTTCTACAACACTTCATTCAGTCGGGTTGTGTCCAGTTAAACACCTGTCGCTGTACTAGGGCATTCGATTACAGTTTCTTAAAGGGACAGTTCAGAATTTTGGACATAGGCCTTCATTTCCTAGTGTTCCAGAGTGTTGGAGACGTGTGGAGACACTTTTTTAAATATTCCGTCCAGTCCTTGTATTTGCAGAGGTCACTGGTGTTAGACTAGTGCATGTCAATGGTCATAGTTTATCCTGCCACTAAAAACAGTTTTACCCACTCTACAAAACACCTGAAACAAACCTATTATTACACCAGACTGTCCATGTGAATGTCTGTGTTGATAGAATCATGTTTGAAATAAAACTAACCTTGCATCGCATGAATCGTCGCATGTTGAAGGACTATTTTCTCATATATCAGTCCACCGCTGCTGAGTTTTCTGTCAAGAAGTACAACTCACTGCTGCTGCTCACACATAAATCCTTCAAATGCGAGGTCGGTTTTATTTCTAAAATTATTCTATCGACAATCTGGTGTAATAATAGATTTGCTACAGGTGCTTTGTGGATGGAATACTGGATACTGGATGGAATATTTCAAAAAGTGTCTCCACACGTCTCCAACGCTCTGGATCACGAGGAAATGAGGTCCTATGTCCAAAATTCCGGACTGTCCCTTTAATCAATCATCAGGAGAATTAACAATGGATTTTCAATTAATAATTTTTATATTAAAATTATCATCATTATTATTATTACTATTACTAATCTGCATAAATAAACTCAATTTTACAACATGTAAACCATAACCAACGGAAAATTCTTAATGATCAATTAACGATTAGTTAAATAATCATGCCAAGCACTACACTGTATCCCGTTATTTTCCCAACTCTCCCAGTGCATTGTGGTTTATATTGATCGCTCTAGTGACCACCGATGTCTACTACTTTTCAAGGTGCATAGTGGAAAATTTTGAGCGCACTACTTTTTCACCAACTGGACATTCGGACACCCCTGAAAATGCTGTGACTCCTAAACGGTGCCCTAACGAGGGAGCAGTGTGGACATTCAGACACAACTCCAGCTCTGTTTGTGACGAGGAAATGATTATAACACGACTTAAAGCTCACAAGAGTCAGTTTTGTGCAACCTAAGACCTTGATTCTAGTTATCTGTGCAGCTCTTCGTCCCATACCTGTTTCTGACGCTTTCTCAAGTTCTCTCGATGACGACAGTTCTGTCCTCCTGCAGCGAGTGCAGTGTGGACGGGCTCGTCACGTAGTCATCACCCAGCAGAGCCAGGAGGGGATACTGATTACTGTATCTGTAAAAAGTGGAGAAAGTTTATTGCTGTTTTATAGAGTGTAACAATAACAACCAATAAAAGTCTCACAATAATTTCGTGGACCATCACAATTTATCGAATCACAAGTTTCTTTGCTTAAATTCTTTGTTATGGTGCAGCAGAAGCTAAAAAAACAGAGAGAACTACATAGACCATGATCCTTTGCTCCGTTTTGGTGCAAACTACAAGAAGAAATAACAGTTCTAACACTTTTAAGTCTTAGTTCTTTGGATTAAGTCTTGTCAAACATTTTAAGAGGAAAAAGTAGAATATTCACAATTTTGTACAATTTTCTACATAAAATCTCGCAATAATTATCGTACCGTGAGATGTATATCATGAAAACATCTTACCGTGGCATTTGGAAATTGTTACATCCCTGTAGTTTTAGTGTAATTATTCTGTATTTAGATCATTTAAAGATTCACTGTGTAACTTTTTGGTTTGGGGTCACCTGCTTGTCTCTATGTCTCATTTATTAAATTACAAGTGATTTTATCGCTCAAAAATACCTCGAAAAACAGACATTCTGACTGTGAGTGGGGTCGCCTCTCCACAGATCTGACCTCTAACTTGGTCTGGTTTGATCATCTTCCTCTGACCTCTTGTATAAAGCTGAGATTTTATATTTTATTACATATTTTTCTATTTTATTTTGACTTGTACATTTGCATTTATATAATTATGTCTTATTTGACGCGTCTCTCGCTCTTTTTCTCAGTTCAAATTCAATTGAAAAAAGTTTATAGTTAATTCTTCATATGAACAGTGTTGGGGAGTAACGGATTACATGTACCGCCGTTACGTAATCAGAGTACAAATGATGAGTAACTGTATTCCGTTACAGTTACTGTTTCAATGAGTGGTAATTGGATTACAGTTACTTTGCTGAAATAAGTGGATTACAAGGCGGTATTTTCCTGTTTTCACATTTTGTGCTACATCCCATTTATTTATTTTTTTATTTCGGTATTTCCACTCATTGCCAGAAACCCAAACAGAACGCGCGCAATAAGAGCGATGGAAACGTCATGTTAAAGTTGGCGGTGTCAGTCACACAGTGGAAGCAGCAGTGCATTGGTAAAAACACATTTGTGTGTTGGAAATTCTTCTCCCGATGTGAGATAAATATATAAAAAAACAAATATAAAATCGCCTACAACTTAAATGTGAAACAGGAGCTACTGGCACTGGTGAAAACAACCTGCATAGACTCATAATATCTGCACTACTGTCCTATAATGACCTGCCACATGAGGGGACGTGCACACAAACACACACAAACACAAACACACACAAACACAAACACACACAAACACAAACACACACAAACACAAAACACACACAAACACACAAACACACAAACACAACACACACAAACACAAACACACACAAACACAAACACACACAAACACAAACACACACACACACACAAACACACACAAACACCTTCATCATCGTCATCAACCTGACAACCCGCGGACCACGTCTCCTTCCGTAGTTACAGCGCGGACACCGCCGTCTCGTGCGCCGCGTGTGGAACGTGTTTTCTCGCGTAAACCGCACTTCCTCCTGTGCGCCTCTAAACCAGAACTAACACCAGGACTAAAACCAAGACTAACCCAGGACTAAACCAGGACTAACACCAGGACTAAACCAGGACTAAAGCAGGACTGAACCAGGTTTAAACTAGGACTAAACCACGACTAAACCAGAACTAAAGACCTGGTCTAGACCAGGTCTAAAAATCAGGACTAAACCAGGACTAAATCAGGACTAAACCAGGACTAAACCAGGACTAAACCAGGACTAAACCAGAACTAAACCAGGACTAAACCAGGACTAAACCAGGACTAAACCAGGTCTAAACAACATGACACCTAACAGTAGGTTGACATAATTTAAGGTGATCTCATATAATTTTCTCTATCAATAATATTTTTTAATATGGTTCATGAAAGGCTGATCTTGTTATTGTCTTTTAACAGACAAAACCTCTTATATTAAGATCTCGTGGTCTTTGTTTCTCTACAGCAAACAGTTGCTTATTCATGGAGACTTGGGCTCAGACAATTTGAAGACAACAAACAAGAATTTTGAGGATGTGGTCACTATATTCATGTCGTTTAAAAAAACATGACAATATCAAGTAATCCAAAGTAATCAGATTACGTTACTCACTTTAAGTAATTTAATGGATTACGTTACAAATTACATTTTGGGGTGTGTAATCTGTAATCTGTAGGGGATTACATTTTAAAAGTAACCTTCCCAACACTGCATATGAAACACATGAAGAATCGAAATTGTGTTTCTCACTCCTAAGTGTATAAATACATATTAATAAATGTCCAATAAAGTCCAAGTGTTTTTTTGGGGAGACGCTTTTTTTTAAAACAAACAAAACTATTTGCGGCACAAACGATTGACCTAACTTTTGTGTAGGTTTGCGTTTAATGGGGGCCAAGTTCACGCAGGTTAATGAACCGACTTCACATTTGGTCAAAAGTTGAATTTGAAACTGTGATCGATCAGTACATATATATTTTTCGTTTTTTTACCATACTGCTTAGCCTTTGGTCTAATGTAAAACTAGTCCGTGGTTTTCAGTAGACACTTTTATGGCTGTTTAAAGCACTTCTTCTACTTCCGCTCAGAGCCTCTTCTCATTTATTGTAAATCTGACTAAAACTGTTCTAGTGTCTGCATACCTCTTGGTAATGGTGGTCCTTGTGACATTCTTGGAGCTGTCGTTTCTCTCTTGTAGCAGCCTCTTGATTTCCTGAAACACAAAAGATCGAATAAAATGAATTTATCATAATAAAAACATTCTAATAGTATTCAATAATAAAAGAGCACGTTTAAAGTACACACTGTTTAAAGTTGTATTGTAAATTTCATACCACTTAAAATTACTTTATCAGTCCATCAATTGTTTTAGCTTTTCTGTTTAGATTATCTCACAATTAATTCTTCCCATTTTAGATGACTGTGATACAATTTATCAAAATACTACAACTTCTATCCTCCAACCACTCAGTGTTTATCTAGAACAGTCTGTGCAGATTTCAGTTTTCCTGAATATCTCAAACTGTATTTAATTCCATTCAGATCCTCTTACAGTTTATGTCACACAGATCAGTCAAAAAAACAAACAGGAAAACACTCATTTAAATATAAAGCTCCTCCTGATTGGAACAATTTTCCCTCATCGATTCGCGCTTTAACTTCTGTCTCTTCATTTAAAAATGCTCTGGTTCAATATTTACAAAACCCATGTGATTGTTTTTGATCATTTTGTTGAATTTTTGTTGTTCATCTTGTTGTATTTTGTGATTGTCTCTGAACTTTGTCTTAGTTTTTTGTTCAAATGTGTTTTATTATGTGTCAAACAGTCAAGTGTAAGTGTAAGTGTAAGTGTGTGTGTGTGTGTGTATTTTGTTGTTTTGATGCTTTTTTGAATTTCTGTATCCTACTGTCTGCCCTACTGTATCTGTCTTTTGTTGTTGTAATTATGAGGACCTCCCCGAAAACGAGATGGCGAGACTCTCAAGGGGCTTATCCTCCAAACAAATACATTAAAAATGTTAATTTAAGTTGTAGAGAGAGTAATAAAAGTTGTATTTAAAAAAAAAAAAAAAAAGCTGTGTGATTCTACATTGAAGGGCCCATATTTCACTATTTTCTGATTGATAATGTCATTTCCTCATCACAAACAGACCTGGAGTTGTGTTTTGTTTCATTCACACGTTTAACACACAAACCCTTAACTGTTAAATGGAAAACACTGTGTTCCACCTTGTGATGTCATGTGGTAAAACAGGAATTGCTCCACTGTGTTTTTAAACTCCACACACCTTCACTAGAATCATTTGGATCATTTCAGCTCTGGAATTGCCGATCTCAAAAGAAGAAAAAAGGAGCTGTTAACTTGAAAACTACCGCTTCATGACATCACAAGGTGGAACTGAGAATTTTGAACTTTGGAGATGTAAACAGACTGATAATAAAAGATTACTTAAACATGTGTGAATGAAACAAAACACAACTCCAGGTCTGTTTTTGAGGAGTTAATAACATTATAACAAGACTTTAACACGAGTAATTTTGGTCATTTAATGTGTGGTCTCAACTTTAAATCTTATTGTTACTTTAAATCTTGTTGTTTAAATGTTAAGTTAATTTCAGTTTATCATTCACATGCGAACATCAACACTTTAAGATCAGATAAGAAGCCGGAAAATCTTTTGATATAGATAATTATCCTGAACTAAACGGGACAGATAAGATCGATAAACAAAGAGTCTGTAAACAGCTTAGAGTGGTTCTGTGTCAGATTAGGTAGAAAATGCCCTGAGAAACATACCTCAGGTTAGAAAACAAGAGAATGCAGCGAAACCAGAAAGTCTAGACCGACCACAGAGTTTAATTTGAATGTAAACATTTCCCTACCAACCACCTGGGTAGGTCTTTAAAGCTGCATTGTGCAACTTTTCTGAAGGAGGGTCTGTCAAGTGTTTTTCTTCATGAAGATGTTTTTGTCTTTTCTGGAATGTTTCATAGTATGAGATTAAAACTTTATATCTTCATGGAGACCAAACCAGACTGAGTCACACTGTGGAACTGGTCTTGGTCTAGTCCTGGTTCAGTCCTGGTTTAGTCTCGGTTCGGTTCTCGTTCGGTGCTGATTTAGTTTTGGCGTAATCTTAATTTTAAGTTTAATTCTCGGGTCTAGTCCTGATTCAGTTCTGATCTGGTCTTGGTTCAGTCCTGTTCTAGTCCTGGTCTGCTCTTGGTCAAGTCCGGTTTCAGTCCTGGTTTAGGCTCGGTTCAGTCCTTGTTTTTAGTTTTGGTGTAATCTTGGTTTAATTCTGGTCTAGTCCTGATTCGGTTCTGATCTGGTCTTGGTCCAGTCCTGTTCTAGTCCTGGTCTGGTCTTGATATTGTCCTGTTTAGGTCCCGATTTAGTCCTGATTCAGTTCTGCCCAAACCAGACCAAGTTACAGGTTACATCTGTGGAGAGGCGACGTCGCTCACAGTCATAACTCCTGTTTTTTTTGTTTTTGTTTGTTTTGTTATTTTTGAGCTTTAAAACCACCTGTAATTGAATAAATGTTTAATGTTTAATGTCACACTGTGGAACTGGTCTTGGTCTAGTCCAGTTTCAGTCCTGGTTTAGTGTCGGTCATTTGTAGTTTTGGCGTAATCTTAATTTTAAGTTTAATTCTTGGGTCTACTCCTGGTTCAGTTCTGATCTGGTCTTGGTTCAGTCCTGTTCTAGTCTTGGTCTGGTCTTGGTCTAGTCCTGTTTCAGTCCCGGTTTAGTCCCGATTACAGGCCAGTTACAGGTCAGATCTGTGGAGAGCTGAGTCTGAATGTCTGTTTTTCAAGGTATTTTTGAGCTATAAAACCACCTGTAACTGAATAAATGTAAAGTAGAGCTGTTTAATGTCACACTGTGGAACATTTGAAGCAAAGCAATGACAGGTGCCTTCGGTTGTGGGTTTCTATGGTATTGTTTCTATGGATACGCCATTGTTCTGCCTGGAATGTTCCACAGTGTGACATTAAACGGCTCTACTTTACATTTATTCAATTACAGGTGGTTTTAAAGCTCAAAAATACCTCGAAAAACAATATTCTGACAGTGAGTCGCAACGCCTCTCCACAGATCTGACCTGTAACTTGGTCTGGTTTGGTCAGAACTGAATCAGGACTAAACCAGGACCGAAACAGGACTGAACGAAGACCAGATCAGAACTGAATCAGGACTAGACCAGAATTAATTAAACTTAAAATTAAAATTGCCCCAAAACTAAATCAGCACTGAACGAGGACCGAACCGAGACTAAACCAGGACTGAAACTGGACTAGACCAAGACCAATTCCACAGTGTGACATTAAAAACAGCTCTACTTTACATTTATTCAATTCCAGCTGGTTTTATTGCTCAAAAATACTTTGAAAAACAACATTCTGACTGTGAGCGGCGTCGCCTCTCCACAGATCTGACCTGTAACTTGGCCTGATTTGGTTTAGACAGACAGGTTTAATGCCGTACTGCGAAACATTCTGGACAAAGCAATAATGAATAAACTTGAAGAAACCATGAAGAAACTTGAAATTTGATGGACTCTCCACCGGAAACATTACACAATTCCCATTTAAAGGAAAAAAAAAACAAACAAACCATCTGACCACAAAAATGACCAAAATCTCAAGTATTTAAAGTAAAAGTAAACAACTGCAGACAGTTAACATCGGCGCAATTACGATGTGAAGTGAGGCGAGGCTGATGGGCGCAGATAAGGAGCAGGTGCAGGAGCGGCTTGGAACGATTCGAAAAGTACAGTAAGATTAAAGGCTTCTGTGAGATCTATGGCTAACCACGAAAACCAAACACATACACTGGAGTAATTGCAGTTTGCTTATCTTTTGGCACACAAACAAACAAAAAAATAAACTCCAGCACTTAATAAATGAGTCTGAGTATGTGCGTGCTTTAATATTTGAAATTAGACTTAGATTAGAGTTGATTTATTACGTCTTTAAACTTCTTTTCAACTCAATACAAACAGAAACACATTTGTATCTGCAGGTTTATTTTGCCGATAATAATAATGATGATGATGATGATGACGACGGGCCGCCTGATCTAAACCAGGTCTACAACAGGACTATTTAAACACCAGGACTGTGCAAGGACTATTCCAGGTCTAAACCAGGACTTTAACAGGACTATTCCAGGTCTAAAACAAGTCTATAAAAAGGTCTAAACCAGGTCTAAACCAGGTCTATTCCGGGTCTATTCCGGGTCTAAACCAGGTCTAAACCAGGACTACACCAAGACTAAACCATTACTAAACCAGGACTAAACTAGGTCTAAACCAGGTCTAAACCAGGTCTATAAGAGGACTATTTCAGGTCTAAACCAGGTCTATTCCAGATCTAAACCAGGTCTATTCCAGGTCTATTCCAGGTCTATTCCAGGTCTATTCCAGGTCTAAACCAGGTCTAAACCAGGACTACACCAGGACTACACCAGGACTACACCAGGTCTAAACCAAGACTAAACCAGGACTAAACCAGGTCTAAACCAGGTCTATAAGAGGACTATTTCAGGTCTAAACCAGGACTATTCCAGGTCTAAAAAAAGTCTATAAAAAGGTCTAAACCAGGTCTATAACAGGACTATTCCAGAACTATTCCAGGTCTAAAGCAGGTCTAAAGCAGGTTTAAAGCAGGTCTAAACCAGGACTACACCAAGAATAAACCAATACTAAACCAGGACTAAACCAGGTCTAAACCAGGTCTATAAAGGGGACTATTTCAGGTCTAAACCAGGTCTAAACCAGGTCTAAACCAGGTCTAAACCAGGTCTAAAACAGGTCTAAACCAGGTCTAAACCAGGTCTAAACCAGGTCTATAACAGGACTATTCCAGGTCTAAAACAAGTCTATAAAAAGGTCTAAACCAGGTCTATAACAGGACTATTCCAGATCTAAACCAGGTCTAAACCAGGTCTAAACCACATCTATTCCAGGTCTATTCCAGAACTATTCCAGGTCTAAACCAGGACTACACCAGGACTAAACCAGGTCTAAAGCAGGTCTATAAGAGGACTATTTCAGGTCTAAACCAGGTCTAAACCAGGTCTAAACCAGGTCTATCAGAGGACTATTCCAGGTCTAAACCAGGTCTAAACCAGGTCTATCAGAGGACTATTCCAGGTCTAAACCAGGTCTAAACCAGGTCTACACCAGGACTACACCAGGACTACACCAGGACTAAAGCAGGTCTATAACAGGATTATTCCAGGTCTAAACCAGGTCTATTCCAGGTCTAAAAGTGGACTACAGAATTTCCACCTTAGTTCTAAACAATTAATGATCCAAAGGACAAAAATGTGGATAAAATAAACTCTAAACCCACAAACTGAAGACTTCACCTCCTGAAGCAGCTTGTGTACGTGTACCGCAGTTTGAAAACCCTGTTAGAAGTGATTGTTAAAAATGATTGTTAGAAGTGTTTACATTATTGGCTGATTTTAAATGTTTGGCCTGATAAGAAACATTTTCTTTGATGATGTGATAAGTGCAGTTAATAATATAGTAAATAATTATTGTTAAGATGTCGTTCCTTTATTACAGGTGTGTCCAAACTGCGGCTCAGGGGCCAAATCAGATCATCAGATTATTTTGTGTTGGCCCTCAGGCTTCCTGCTGTACTGGCCCCAATGGACACAGACCCGACTTACTTTAAATTCAAGAATCTCTGTCACTGAAACATCAATAACAGCTCATTCCTGTACTATACACATTTAACACATTTATTTATTTAATTATTAACACATACGTGGTTCATTATGGATAATAACTAACTCATGCTCTTTTTGGCAGGTGATCGTTTGTTCCCAATCCGATTTGTTTAGAAAAAGGTTCAACTGGGATTATCCTGCTTTGGTTACGGGTGCATTGTGTAACTTTACCGGTGGAGGGTCAGTCAGGGCTCTGGAATGTTCCACAGTAAGACTTTAAACAGTTTTATCTTACATTTATTCAATTACATGTGGTTTTATCGCTCAAAAAACAAAACAAACTAACAAAAAAAAAATTTCTGACCCTCCACCAGAAAAGTTACGCAATGCAGCTTTAACAGTAGGATAAAATGCTTTTGTTTAGGGAGTGTGTTTTCAGGCACATCAGTATCCCGGTTACGATCGGGTTTTTTGAGTATCCCAGTTTCATCATGGTGCATGTAAACGCAGTATCCCGGTTTCAGTATCCCGAATAAGGCCATATATTCCAATAGTCACCGGGATACTGTGGCATGTAAACGCAGTATCAAGGTTACGGCAACATAAAGTTGAGTGTGCATGCGTCCAAAAGACAAACACTTTCCAGTGTTTTCATCGCAACAGTAGCGAAAAAAATAAAGTGACCGACATAAATAAAGTGACCGACGTAAACAAAATGGCCGACGTAAACAAAGTGACCGACGTAAACAAAATGCTCAACATAAATAAAGTGACCGACGTAAATAAAGTGACCAACGTAAATAAAGTGATCAACGTAAATAAATTACCGACGTAAACAAAGTGACCGAGGTAAATAAAATGATCAACATAAATAAAGTGACCGACGTAAACAAAGTGACCGACGTAAACAAAGTGACCGACGTAAACAAAGTGACCCACGTAAACAAAGTGACCCACATAAATAAAGTGACCCACATAAATAAAGTGACCGACGTAAACAAAGTGACCGACGTAAACAAAGTGACCGACATAAACAAGGTGACCGACATAAATAAAGTGACCGACGTAAACAAAGTGACCGACATAAACAAAGTGACCCACATAAATAAAGTGACCCACATAAATAAAGTGACCCACATAAATAAAGTGACCGACGTAAACAAAGTGACCGACGTAAACAAAGTGACCGACGTAAACAAGGTGACCCACATAAATAAAGTGACCGACGTAAACAAAGTGACCAACGTAAACAAAGTGACCGACGTAAATAAAGTGACCGACGTAAATAAAGTGACTGACATAAATAAAGTGACCGACATAAATAAATGACCGACATAAATAAAGTGGTCGGCATAAATAAAGTGACCAATGTAAATAAAATGATCAACATACATAAAGTGACCGACGTAAATAAAGTGACCGACGTAAACAAAGTGACCGACGTAAATAAATGACCGACATAAATAAAGTGACCGACATAAACAAAGTGACCGACATAAACAAAGTGACCGACATAAATAAAGTGACCGACGTAAATAAATGACTGACATAAATAAAGTGATTGGCATAAATAAAGTGACCGATGTAAATAAAATGACTGACATAAATAAAGTGACCGACGTAAACAAAGTTACCGACGTAAATAAATTACTGACATAAATAAAGTGACTGACATAAATAAAGTGACCGATGTAAATAAATGACCGACATAAATAAAGTGACCGACATAAATAAAGTGACGGACATAAATAAAGTGACCGATGTAAATAAAGTGACCGACGTAAATAAAGTGACCGCTGGTTAAACCTCCCGAGCTTCCTCCGCTAAAGGAGCTCATGGTTGTTTGTATTTTTCCTGGTTTATTAAATTAGATAAAGTAAAATTTTGCGCTTGTGCATTTGTAAGAGTATGTCAAGAAACCAGGATACTCCATTTGATCATGTACACAGGGATATGAGTGTTCAATTTTCTGTAGTGATTCCTCACTTAAATGTGTTTTCACGGCAGGACTACGAGCACATGATTCTAGCGTTAGAGAGAATAAAGCAAGCGTACCGCCTCCTGCCGGGTGATGGTGGACTCTCTCTGGCTCAGTGTGGCGAGCAGCTCGGAGATCTTCAGCTCCAGGCTCCTCCCCGCGGACGAGCTCTGTGTGGTGGTGGTGGTGGAGGAGGTCACGCGGGTCTGCAGGCGAGAAATCTGGGACTGCGGGCGGCAAAACAAACCACAAACATGCTCTGTTAGACAACCGTTTTATTCACCACGACGTTTTAGATATAAACTCTATGACTGGTGGTTTCAGATTTTCTAGAATGTGATGGTGTCGTTCTCGTTGTTGTCAATTTATAAAGAACTGAAATGATCAATCTGAATCATTGAATGACCCTTTTGTCTTGCAATCTTTGTGTATATTGTGGGGATGTAACAATAACCGAAATATCGTGATATTGTATCGTCAACAAGTCTCACATTAACATCGTGGGGTGTCACAACATATCGTCGTTCCTCTTGATAAAATTCACCAAACATTCTCTTTGTTCCGGCTTTAAATCCTCGATCTCGGGAATCGTTGCCAACACAGAATGTATGACTCCAGCTGATTGGCTGGTGCCCGAACTCGCACTTCCGGGGTTCTTGCAAACTGTCTAGTGTATTCTGATTGGTCTTGACACTCCGAGGTCTTGGTCTGGTCCTGGTCTCGGGACCCTGTGGTCTTGAACAGGTCTTGGTCTTGATTAGTGCAGTATTGACCACCACACTAGTATATTGTTTATCTGTTTTTTGTATGTATGTTTAGGAAAATTAGTTCATAATAATGTGTATGTATATATGCAATAAATTTGATGAACAAACAAAAAAAAAAAGACAGGTTTTCCTATTGATTACACTGTATTTTGAAAAAGAAATATACAAAAGGTTAATCCTCAAACATGGAACCTGATCTAGGGGGAAGGGGGGCAGCTACAATGAATATTAAAATGCAAAATTATGTTGTCAATGTTGTGATACTGTGAGATCTTGGATTCAAGTTTAACTGAATACTCCAGGTTCAACATTTACGAATTTTCTTTTTTGATATTTAACGGCAAAGTACAACAGAATCAACAGGGAAATTTGTCTCTTGCTGAGAATATGACACAGACACTTTCTAGAATCTGAAAACCACCGATGGCCCAGCAGAACATTACAACGTCACTTTGAAATCCAGTGAAATACACGACACGACACGAGTTTGTTTGTTGGTTTAATCTCGTGTCTCTCGTTCTTGTGCTGAACTGTGATACCTTGAGCTTCTCGATCTCACGGTCCTTCTCTTCTTTCATGGAGTTCAGGTCCTCGCGGTACTGGCGGGAAAGCTCCTCCGTCTTTATCTGCAGAGAGGAGCTGCTCGCCTGTCCGGCCAACTATGACAGACAGGAGAAAAACAAAAACAAAAACAAAAAAAACACGGTAAGTACTTTTGTTCATTATTTAAGAGGTTTGGGAGTAAAAGTGAAACATTTATGAAACATTTCTAGAAGACACAAGTCGCAGGGTGAACACTTCAGCATCTACACACAAAAACCTTTTTTTCTTGTTTGGGAATAAGTTAAGATTTTGGACTAAAACTAACCATTAAAGGTCACATACTGTTTTATTTTATTAGAAAATCTATGTTATAATGTCGTTTCCTCATCACAAACAGACCTGGAGTTGTGTTTTGTCTCTCTGATCTCTACTAAACTAAAAGTAAAAGGAGCCGTTAACGTGAAAACTACAACTACAAAACTACAATGTCGCTCTCCATTTTTAATTTTAAGATGATTATTTATGTTTTGATTTGTTTGCTTTGTGATTTTAATGTTTTTCTTATTCTGTAAAGCACTTTGTGTACGAATTATGCTGTACAAATAAACGTGCCTTACCTACATGACATCACAAGGTGAAACTGTCTACATCTCCAAAGCTCAAAATATTCAGACTAATAATAAAAAGTTATTCAAACCTGCGTGAATAAAACAAAACACAACTCCAGGTCTGTTTTTGACGAGGGAACAACATTATAATATGGCTCTAAGCTCACAAGAGTCAGTATGTAACATAGGTAGTGTTGTAGTACTTGAGACTGGTCTTGGTCTTGAGACTGGCCTCAAGACCATTTTTTTATGGTCTTGGTCTCGTCTCGAACTCGACTGCGTTTGGACTTGGTCTTGTCTGTCTTGAAGGTGCTCAGCCTTTAAAAGTCTTTGTCTTGTCTCGGCCTTTAAAAGTCTCGGTCTTTAAAAATCTCGGCCTTTAAAGTCTCGGCCTTTAAAAGTCTCGGCCTTTAAAAGTCTCGGCCTTTAAAAGTCTCGGCCTTTAAAAGTCTCGGCCTTTAAAAGTCTCGGCCTTTAAAAGTCTCGGCCTTTAAAAGTCTCGGTCTCTGCCTTTTAAGGTTTTTGTCTTGTCTCGGTCTCGGCCTTTAAAAGTCTTCGTCTTGTCTCGGACTTTGAAAGTCTCGGGCTTGTCTCGGTCTTTAAAAGTCTTCGTCTTGTCTCAGTCTTGACCCTCAGAGGTCTCGATTAGTGCGCTCTTGACTACAACACTCAATATCTAGGACCTTTGATAAGTTCATATTCATTGTAGAAGACTGTTTTTCTTGTAGAGTCTGTGTGATCCGTCTGTGTCCGTGGGGGCCGTACCTTTGAGCGCAGTATCTCGTTTTCTTTCTCGAGCGTGTGCAGACGTCCCTCCAGCTCCTTCAGCTTAAAGTCTCGACTGGAGTCGTTATTCTTGCAGCTCATGAGCTGAGACTCCAGAGCGCGCTGAGAGACCGTCGCCTCCTTCAGAGAGTTCTGCCCAAACAAAACAGAGATCACAAAACACTCTGACAGCTGCTCTTCCCCAACACAATAAAGAGTTTTAAAGAGTTTCATTAAAGTGGTTTACTCATTTAACTAAAACACTCTTAAAGCTGCATTGTGGAACTTTTGTGGTGGAGGGTCTGTCAAATACTTTTCTCCATGGTGATGTTATTGCTTTATCTGGAATTTTCACAGTGTGGAATTAAACTTTTCTATCTTCATGGAGACCCAACTAAACCAGGTTACAGGTCAGATCTGTGGAGAGGCGACCCCGCTCACAGTCAGAATGGTTGTTTTTCTAGGGACTTTTGAGCCATAAAAATAAAATCTGTTATTTAATACTATAGATGTGAAGTGGAACTGTTTAATGTCACACTGTGAAACATTCCAGGCACAATGACATATACATGATGATCCCCCAATGAAAAGTTACATAATGCACTTTAAGATCATCATATTTAAAATTTTACGAAAAAAAAATAAAATATTACTTTTCGGAGTTTGGCCATTTTTATTTTTTTTAATTTCAAATTTTACTGTCTGGTTGGAAATCATGACAACACCAAACAACACTGAGCCAAAACTCCGCTTATGTACACACAAACTATTATTTGACAAGCAAAACATGTAAAAATTTATGTTTACGGTATCGTTAAAATTGTGCTGAACTTTTTTGGAGAATCATCAAAACCATGTGCACTTAAAGTCACAGGAGGAGTAAAAACTGCTGTGTCTTTTTAGCCTCTTCACTGAGCTAAGTGATACAATACTGGTATCAGATATTGGAGCCAATATTGAATAATTTGCTGGATATCGGTTCAGTCGATATCCTGGTTGTCCATATGAATTGTTGCAATGAGTCTTTTATTTATACTAAGTTGTTTTCGGTCTCTGCTTTGGTAACGGTTGATATCGGAGAACAGCAGATACTTAAATCCACAGTATCAGAACTGAAAAAAAAAACTGGATCGGAGTGTCCCTGAGGAGAGGAGTCCGAGTGGTGTACCTGCAGCTGTCTGTTGTTCTCGCGCACGTTCTCCAGGAGAGAGTTGTACTGTTTGGCCTGATCCGCTCTGAAGGCCAGGTCCCGCTCCAGAGTCTCCTTCTCTGCCTCCAGACGCTGACGACACAAACACAAGGGACTTACAAAGACGAACAGACCGTTACGGCGCTGACATGTGGGCTCTGTCTCGTGTTTATTGATTTTTGTGCTTTTTCTTTAGCTCACAGAGTTGAGGAAACATTTACTCCATCCAGTGTAAAAGTAAAAGTCACGATAATCACTATATCCACTTATCGCTCCATAAACTTTTATGATTATTATGGTGTTTGTGAAGGAACTAGTACTCAAAAAATTACAACTTTTGAAACTGCACTTGTGATTACAACCCAGACTCAGAACCAAGGTTATGGGACAAAACGTTAAGAAACATTTTACGTTATTTTCTCAGGTTACTCGCAAAAGAGTTCACACATGTTTGACACACAGACCCTGCATATTTCTGCCAAGATCTTCTCTCAAACAGACTCTTCAACCTTGTGATGTCATGTGGTAATACAGGAAGTGCTCCACTGTGTTTTTATACTCTATACAACAACATTATAACATGGCTTAAAGCTCACAAGAGTCCATCCATTTTCTTCTGCTTATCTGGGGCCGGGTTGCGGGGGCATCAGTCTGAGCAGGGACTCCCAGACTTCCTTCACCCCAGACACTTCCTCCAGCTGCTCCGGGGGGGACCAAGAGGCCAGTCCAGAGACATGGTCCCTCCAGCGTGTCCTGGGTCTTCCCTGGGGCCTCCTCCCAGTGGGACATGAACACCTCCCGGTGGGACATGAACACCTCCCGGTGGGACATGAACACCTCCTGAGGGAGACACCCAGGAGACAGAACAGATGCTCGAGCCTCAGCCGCTTCTCTTGACGTGGAGGAACAGCGGCTCTACTCCGAGCTCCTCCTGTGTGACTGAACTCCTCAGTCCATCTCTAAGGGAGCACCCAGACACCCTGCGGAGGAAACTCATTTCGAGCGCTTGTATCGGCGATGTCGTCCTTTCGGTCATTACCCAGAGCTCATGACCACAGGTCACAAGAGTCAGTTTTGTGTAACATAGAACCTTTAGTAAAATCTACTTTATCTTTACAATATGGAGCACTGCTCAGTTTGATATTAATGCAGAGGTTGTGTGTATGAACAAGTATGTGCAGCTCTTTATTGGCATTTCCCATACGGCAGGGCAGATCTTCTCACAGGATTTAATTGGTTTTCTTTTTTCTCTCTGACGTCCCGGGCTCCTGGCCAAAATAATATCACTGGTAAAAGCAGAGCGGTAAAGTCAGGTCCCCGTGTGATGTACACGCATTAATTAATTACTGCGTTTAAGCTCGTAATGTCAGTCACCAGAATGTCGCTTTTAGGGAAGAGTGTTATATCTGTGTTACAGCATCGACATTCACATTATCTTATGTTTTCTGCCCTTTTTTCCTGACAATACTTTCACACTGAGAGTTACTTAAAAACATTTCAAAACATTTCATTAAAAACAAAAACATGAATCTTATCTCTTATAAACTTATATGATAAAATCCAAATGATTCTGGTGAACGTGTACGGAGTTTAAAAACACAGTGGAGCACATCACAAGGTGGAGCAGAGTGTTTTCTGTTGAGAACTCAGTCTAAATGTGCAGGGTTTGTGTGTTAAACAATGTGAACAAAGCAAAACACATCTCCAGGTCAGTGAATATCAGAGCTTTAATGTTTCTGGAGCCTTTTCACTCTTCAAAAATGTATCCTCGTGGGGAAATATTTTTACGACAGACGAGCATTCAAAGCTAAAGTACTTATGGATATTGGCTCCAAGCACATATGAAGGATTATGCAAAAATAAAAGCAACTGACTGTAATAAACTCTGCAAAGATCGTCAACATATTCTTAAGATTCAGTTCACATTTCGCACTCGAATTAGGTCAAGACTCCCAAAGTCCCCAAAACATATTTTCACAGAGTTTTATTATTTTAAAGGGCATTTGACAGACACGTCCTGACAGGAGCGAGGTAGGAGCTTAAAGGGCCAATTTTACTCTATTTTCACACAAGTTAAACTCACAAACCCTGCAGATTTAGGCTGAGCTCTTCTTCTCTCAAAACAGAAAACACTCCAGATGCCCGTGCGTATGACTGAAAGGTTTTCATTTTTCATCCCGTAGTCTTCCCTCTCATTTAATGTCTCGCTCTCTTTTCAATTTCAGGAAGAATATTTATGTTCTGATGTGTTTGTGTTGTGATTTTAATGTAAAGCACTTTGAATTACTTTGTGTACGAATTGTGCTGTACAAATAAACTTGCCTTTCCACTTTGTGATGTCGTGCAGTAGAACAGGAAGTGCTCCACTGTGTTTTTAAACTCCAAACACCTTCACTAGAATCATTTGGATAATTTCAGCTGTAGAATTTCAGTTCTCTACTAAACAAAAGAGCTGTTAACTTGAAAACGACCGCTTCATGACATCACAAGCTTGGAGATGTAAATAGACTTTTAGACTTTTGAGAGGGTAACTAGGGCTGGGTATCATTAAGAAGTTGCTGATACAATAAATACCTCGATACAATACATATGTCGATACAGTGCACTTCCGGTTCGATACAGTTCAATAAAAAATTAATTCTAAATCATGTGATCAGTCTGTGATTCTAAAAGTCTTTGTTAAATCACTTCTTGTGCAAAGTTCATATGAAACACAAACATTTTAATCATCAAAACAATGAAAATGTCAAATGTGTCACATAAATGACTTTCCTTCCTCTAAACAAAGAACAAAATTGTAGCTGTAACAAAATAGTTTAGTAAAATATACCAAAAAATACTCTTGGTGATATATTAATACCGTATCATCACATTAAACAATACGATATATCAATATTTCCATAATTTTGCACACTCCTAGTAACAACATAATAACATGACTTAAATAGGATGAGCAGATTTTCAGAATTAAAAGCTGCAACACACTTGGTTTGGGATGTTTGGGATAAATAAAAAGTGAAAAGAGCAAGTACTGTAACATTGTCCTTTCTCGACTCACTTTTGTGTCAGTCGTAATCTGAGGGACTGTTGTTGAATTTTTTTGTTTGTTTTATGGTTGGATGGTTGCATGGTTTGGATATTTTATCTTAACAAATGACAATATATTCCCCGCTTTACTTTTGGCGGGGATCAGATTGGTCAGAAATGGAGACAACCAGGACATTTCTTGTATAAAAGTTGGACAAATCACTGGTTTTGGATAAATCTGCTGAAAAAAGAGAAACAGGGCTCAAAACTGGGACTGTCCGGGTAAACAGGGACGTCTGGAACTGTCAACCAGCTGATTTATAACTGGAAACCAATAACTACAAACTTAAAAGTAAATTAAAATGATTGTATATTTCGAATCAAAAATGCATCTATAGAAAATGAACTGTATATATTTTATTTGTATGAAACTTATTTGTCTTGTATCGTCTGTTTTTATGCAATAGTTGATATTTTCATATATACGAACAGGTGTTGAAAACTGTCACTTGTGCTAAAACACTCAAAGCGATGTATCTGGCTTGTCTAATGTGATTGTGTCATCCTTAATAAACATTAAAAAAACTTAAAAATCACACAAGAGTCAGTTGTGTGTAATATACTGTAGGACTCTTTAAAGATGTTTCTCTTCTACTGCAGAGTTTTAGGTTAAATCACGTTATATTGTTGTTGGTCTAGTCCTTTTGTGTTTTGTGTTTTGTGTTGTGTGTAATTCTCACCCGCAGGTCCTCGGACATGTGCAGCAGCTCCTCTCTCAGGGTGCTGAAGGTGGAGAGCAGCAGGCGCATGCTCTTATCCGCCGTCAGACGAGTCTACGAGCCAAACACACACTTCAGATACAACCTCTTTTTCATGTTTTTATGTATTACACTCAAGAAATACCATATAACTATAACATATTGAAAGCATGAAAGTCTTGTAGTTGAATTGTTAGTCTCTGAGTGTCACAGTCTGCCCTCTGAGTGGACCTATATTTGTGTTCAACTCAGCATGAAAAGTGGAGCATCCATTTATTTAAACTCAACTAACATTTCCCGATATAAAACACCTTCACAGCAGAGTGTTTAGTCTGACCTGGAGTAAGTAGCGCATTTGTTGTTTAGTGAGTTCAGTCGCTCCTTTGGGAATGAGCGCCTCCACCTGGTCACGCTCCATCTGCAAATACAGAAAACATATTACATACAAATACAAAACAAAATATGTGCATACAAATGATAAACAAATGTATTCATCTAACATTAAAGGGCCGCTTACACTTTTATTTTCTGATCTATGTTCTAATGTTGTTTCCTTGTCACAGCCAGACCTGGAGCTGTGGTTTGTTTCATTCACACGTTTCACACACAAACCAGAAAACACTCTGCTCCACCTTGTGATGTCATGAGGAAGTGCTCCCATGTGTTTTTAAACTCCATAAACAGTCACTAGGATAATTTGGATGATTTCAATTGTTGGTCTCTACTGAACTAGTTTAATTTTAGTTTAGTTAGTTTATTTTCTTGGGTCAATTAACATAATCATACATCATATTACAATGATTTAACACAGAAAATTATGCAGTTAATACAAATCACTAAGGTCAGGGGTGTCAAACATACGGCCCGGGGGCCAGATCCGGCCCTCCAAGACCTTTAATCTGGCCCTCGGCTGATTTTCTACTAAAATATTTTAATGATATTTTCTATTAAAATCTTGTTAATTTTCTGTGGTGTTTATCACAGCAGCGTCTCCAGCGTCTCTGTACGTGGCCCCTCCCACCAGAGCAGCACAAATGAAGACTTGTCTCTTTCCAAACGCTCTTAAAGGACGATCGTTTTGACTGTTGACCGTGACCCCCTCATCAGAAAAATGTCCAACATGAGAAAAGTGGAGCCGAGTGCAGGATTTTACAACAAAAATGGACTTATTCCTATTTACATAAAAGTTCATGTTAAAACATTGCGTTGAAATTGTATTTTTCTTAAACATTCATGTTGTTCATAATATTATAATATTTTGTAAAAGAAAGAGTTCATCAATTAAAAAAGATTTCTGTAATAGATTTGTGTTTCTCTGCACAAATATTTGAACTTATTGTTATTTTTCTGGGATATTTGCCTTTTTTTTTCTTTTCTGGCCCCTTTGGGATCAAAGTAGGTTGGATACGGCCCCCGGACCAAAGTGAGTTTGACACCCCTGATCTAAGGGTATTCTATAGACTGAAGTTTAACACTTGTTTTGCCAAACTATTAACATATAGAACAGGATACAAAATGGTAGAACTATTTACAGAAAACAACACAAAACTCATCTTTTATAAGTGCAGGAAAGAAAATGTCCCTAAAAGTAAAAATAAAAGTAAATGGTAGGTGTTAACTACCATTTCATGACATCACAAGGTGGAACAGAGCATTTTGAGCATGTGTGAATGAAACAAAACACAAGTCCAGGTCTGTTTTTGAAGAGATATATTATTATAACATGACGTAAAGCTCACAAGAGTCAATTTTCAAGACTCAAGACTAGAATTAGAACATATCCTACATCTACTCTTAAAGATATTTGTAACACCAGGATGTTATTTACTTTACCTTGTACTCGTAGCTGTCCAATTTCCTGGAAAAAAAAAAACAAACAAAAAGTTAATCTGGAGCTCCCGATGACAGCACATTGCACAACATTTATTATTTTTTTTGCATCACAACAGCGTCCCGAGGCGTTCATATCTGTGTGAATTAGAGCTGAACGTTTTTAGTCATTCAGTCAACAAACAGGAGAAGTCAGATTACACTCATCAATCACAAGTTGGATCTGTCTTTATATAAATACATTATTTCCTGGTACTTTTTACTACATAAATAGTAGTTTTTGCATGTGCTCCCCCTGCAGGTGTCGTCTTGTGAGTGCAGTTTAGGTCAGACACATGGAGATACAGAATAGTTTTGAGAGTTTGTGTCTGGAATATCCCACAATTATTTAATTACAGGTGTTTTATTGCCCAAAAATACCCAGAAAAACAGGCATTCTGAGAGGGGCACAGATCTGACCTTTAACTTGATCAGGTTTGGAGTTTTGCCACACCCCTTTTAACATGATCACATTTTTATATAGTCCAATGAGATTCATTTGGTCTTCTGGTAATTTATGTTATTCGGTTCTTTTTTTAGACCAAGAGTTTGTTTTCAGACCTGACAGTGAGGAAGAGCGTTAGTGAGCAGTCAAAGCTGTCAGGTATGAAAAAAGAATCTAATAATATACATTTTTATATATTACTTTTCTAGCGTGAGCATGAGATTGACAGGTGGACAGGTGCAGTTGGCAGTTGGTTGGCAGTGATGCGGTCGCTGTATTGGACCGTTGTGGTGAAGAGGGAGCTGAGCCTGGATTTACCATCAGTCTCAGTTCCTCCCCTCACCTACGTTCATGAGCTCTGGGTAATGACCGACAGGACGAGATCGTGGATACAAGCAGAGAAATGAGTTTCCTCCGCAGGGTGTCTGGGTGCTCCCTTAGAGATAGAGTGGGGAGCTCACCCGGTCCGGATAAGCGGAAGAAAAAGGATGGATGGGCTTTTCTACCTTCAAGGCTCAAATCTCTTTACATCAAGAAACTGCTCTTACACCAGTGTACGAAGATACTGAGGGTGAGGTGGATGAAGTCCCTTGCCCAAGGACAGAAAGACAGCAGTCATGTCACATCTACCAGTGATGTTTACGTCAAGAGCGGGATCCAAACTGCCAACTTTCAGATCAGAAGACAAACACAGTACCAACGGAGCTACTGTCAACAGCCCTAGTACAGTAGTTTTCTGTAATTAATAACTGTCAAAACCATCACAAACACACCGGGAGTTGTGTTTAAACACACAAAACCAGCAGATTTATGCTGAGTTCTTCTCTCACTCTGTTCCACCTTGTGATGTCATGTGGTGACACAGGAAGCACTCCACTGTGTTTTTACACGCCATACACCTTCACTATAATGAATAATTTGGATTAGACATGTCAAACTCTGTATCGTGGGCCAAATTTGACCTCGAACCTATTATATTTGGCCCGCGAGATCATATCAAATCTGTATTAGAGCTGCCACCGTACACAGATCAACTATAGAGACATGATTTATTTAAAATTTTTGTTATTATTTTATATTCTGCTTGCTCTGGATTCAAAGTTTAACCAAAACTATTACTAAACATTTATTTTAATAAGAAAAGTTTTAACATTACATATCTTGAAAGAAGAGAAATTTTTCAATAAATATTTAGTTTGGCCCACGACAGTCCCAGTTTTTAATTTTGGCCTCTGTAAATTTGAGTTTGACACTCTTAATTTGGATGATTTCAGTCCTGGAATTGCAAATCTTTACTCTAAAACGTAGCTGTTAACTTGAAAACTACAAGGTGGAACAGAGTATTTTGAGCTTCGGAGATGTAAACAAACAGAAATAAATGAATTCTCAGACGTGTGAATGAAACAAAACACAACTCTGGGTCTGTTTGTGATGAGGAAACAGCTTTATAACATGACTTAACACTCACAAGAGTCCATTTTGCGTAATACAGAACTTCAAATAAAATTCCCACCAGTAATACTTTGGCAACAGATGTGGTTTTTTCTGTGGTTCTTTGTGGTTTTATAGCCTCACATCCCTTTAATCCGATGGTGTTAAATGTTCCAGTTTGCATTATAAGGGCGTTGTTAATCAAGTATGACACCGAAACTGAAGACCTGCCTTAAGCCTGTTCCGACACGCTGCGGATCCGAGCAGTCCCAGCTTTTCCAATGAGATATCCGAGAGCGGCCGTCTAGGAATAAACTCCGAGCGCAAAAGAGTGTACGTGCTCCCGGGCCGGCCGTAAAGCTGTCTATAAATTACTGCATGTCGCAAGCGCAGTTTTGAAATGAGCATTAATGATCCAGGAGTTGTAAAACGCAAACCCTGCAGATTTAGGTCAAGTTCTTCTCTCAAACTGAAAACACTCTGGTCTACTTTGTGATGCCATGTGGTGCGACAGGGAGTGCTCCACTGTGTTTTTAAACTCCTCACACCTTCACTAGATTCATCTGGATGATTTCAGATCTGGAATTGCCGATCTCTACTGAACTAGTTAATTTAATTGCATCACACATCATTTAATTCCTGTATTTAGACTTATATTAACTAAAATGTGTGCACCCAAATTAGAATATAAGTCTGAGTTATTTACTTACACTTGTTCTTTTTGGGGTGTTTTGAGTACTGGACGGAGGACCCTTGGGAGAAACCATCACTGAAGTTTTACTAAGTTCGTTTGTGTCATTCAGGGGTCTCGAACCTGTAGCTCTGGAGCCACTGGTAGCTCTCCACCTCCTTCCAAGTATTTCGCCAAAGGATTTCTGAATTACCGTATTTTCTGCACTATAGAGCGCTCTGGATTATTAGGCACACTGTCATCGAATGGTCTATTTTTACATATAAACCTCACCGGACTGTAAGGTGCATTAAAGGAAACCCAACAGTGTGATGTGTGAGTGGTTTTGTTTGTTTGTGTTGTTCACAGTGACTCTGGGCTTTGTTCAGTTGTGGCGTGTAGGGAGGGTGCTGTCTGGGACCAACGGATTGTCGGCGTGTTCGCAGTGACTCAGTTGTTCAGTTGTGTCTAGAAGTGGCACATTGCACTCGCTTTTTCGGTTCGTTCATCCGTTCCGTTCCTCGTTGCCGTGGAGTAATGAGTGCGTCTGTGGGTGTTTTTGGCTTTGTAGTTTACTGAAGTCGTGCTGGGACACCGCTCTGGATTGTGGGGCACGCAGTCGTTTTTTGATGGGGTTGGAGGCTTAAGAGCACGTATAATAGTGTGAAAAATACGGTAATCTGAAAACTATTGCTTCATGACATCACAAGGTGGAACAGAGCATTTTGAGGTTTGGAGATGTAGACAGACTAATAATAAAGAGTTACTTAAATGTGTGTAAATGAAAGAAAACACAACTCCAGGTCTGTTTTTGAGGAGGTAATAGCATTAGAACACGGCTAAAAGGACCTTTATTCAGTTTGTCATCATGGAGATAAAGTGTTTCTATGTCTCTCAACAGTATGACATTAAACCACTTTACATTTATATTGTTAAAACTATTTTCTGTTAACTGGGCAAAGTTTTTGAGTGGAGACAATTTTCTTTTGCTGTGAAATCTTCCTAGACGACTGTTAGATCACACACACATTTTTTTTTACAGTTAGCTGACTCACTTCTCCACACACCTGACCTGTAACACGCTCTGGTGATGAGCTTGTCTCCGTGGACAAATAAAGGTTTAAAGGCATAATGCTGAACTTTCCAGACAAAGCGACACCACTATGATACGATTATTAACTAATCAATGCACAAGGGAAACATCTAAGCAATTATCCACTAGGCATTAGGTGATAATGAAATGTGATGTTGCAATGATTAGTAGGGTTGTCCCAATCCGATCACGTGACTCGGATGTTATAGTCCGATCAGGTATCTGATAAATAATATATGTACATAACACATGGGACACACCAGTTTTCCTGAGGCAGAGGATTTGCTCAGGGACGTCCAGTCAGCGCGTCTGTCTGTCCCAGCGCCTGTTGTACTAGAGGCGCACTTACGCTGGGACTTTTGGATCGTGTCTTGCTCGGGCGCTGTTACCTGTGGTTCTGTGGCCCGTGTTCACACCTGTGAGGCCGTTGGCGTCATCGCACGGCGCTGTTTGTTACAAACAAAACAAACAGCCCTGTTGTGCAGCGGAGCTGGCGCTATTGGCGGAGAGGGAGGGTCCAGCAGCGTGGAGTGTCTATTGAGCGGCGGGACCGATGTTGCGGTGCATGCTCCTCTGTGGGTTTGTGGGTTTGTGGACGTGGTGGTGGTGCGGGGACAGAGGCTGTGGGGTTTCTGTCATCTCGTTTTTATTTGGTAAGATTTTGTATTTTTTGGATTTCATAGACGAGCCTAAATGTTTCAAATATAAAGCACATTTAATTGCACATAATGCACATCTGGTCTGGTTTCTGTTTTGTCCAGTTCATTAAGTTTACTAAGTTTTACATTCCAAGGCCAGACTGTGAAAAAGTCAAGATTTTCAACAATGATGGTTCATGGTTAGAAAAGTTAATAAAAAAATTAAAGTTTTGGACATTTGATTTTTCACAAGTACGACACATGAAATCAACACAATCTGATCCTCCACACATTCTGGATCCGATTCTTTGCTCTTAGTTCATTTCATAATGTTTTAAAGAAGTATCGGATTGAGACTCGATATCAGCAGATACTCAAAATCAAAGGACTCGGAGGCAAAAAATTGTGATCGGGACATCCCTAATTATTAGTAAGTATAAGTATTAAGGATAGGACGAGACACAATTTCCACGAGACGAGATGAAATATATAAATTTCACGATTCACTTTCCAGTTTTGGCCTCACATTTTTTTATTTCTTTGATTTCATATTTTTGTTTCCATTCTAGTACCTGCTTTGGACCTGTAAAAGATGCAACTCATCAATACTTAACCCATTTTTTCCAATCTAAATGTAAACACACGAAAAAAAAATCTCATGAGATAATTTTTCTCCGTGTGCACAGTCTTGTGGCAATTTTATCTTATCTTGTGGCACTAGATTTGTTCTATCTCGAATAAGTATAATTTAAATGTTATGAATAGGTCCTGTATTTGGACTGATGTAAAATTGTACCTTGTCATAATTGAAAAAAGCAAAGATCTAGAAGAAATCATCATGGATATTTAGCTTCTTTCTGCACACTCTGCTGATAAAACGTTGATTCTCATGATAATATAAAACGCCCCACGAATGATCAATGCTGACTCTTTTTATCGTGATTAACCGTCCCGTCCCTTTTACCCAGAATGCTTTTACTCAACTGGGCCAAACAGGTTTGATCAGGAGACTGTAACTGAAAGTAATTGGCTGCACAGAGTATCAGGCCAAGTCTAAACCTTTCCAGATTTATTTCAAACATCTGTCAAAGCATCATCACAAGTGCCAGTGTTGTGTGTTTCATGGGACGGGCCCGAGCTTGTCCTGTGTTGTTTCCATCTTGTAATTGCATTCTTCAACAATAAAGCAATTGTTTTGAACATTATATTCTGATGACAGCTTTCTAATCATTTTGAATTATTTATTTTTTAAAAATCTTAAAATTACATTAGGATTAATCTATCTCCATGGAAACGTAAACGCGCTCACAGTAAACGTGTTTCTCAAAGTAAACTGATGTGCAAACTTACTGTGCAACTAGTTTTTTTGGACACTCAGAGATGCTGCATTATTCATTCACTCACACAGCTGCCCTCGGGGAGACTGAACGAAGAGTTCAATTTAATTTAACAGTAATTTCCATATGTTGCACGCACAAAAATGGAGCAAAGGACCATGATTTAATAAGTATAACTGCCTCTGTTGGCACATTACTGCAACAAAACAATGCAAAAGAGAAAACAATGCAATTTTAATATTGCAGTAGCACTACTTCGTCACATTAAAGAAGGGAGCACTCACACTAGGACTTTAGGGTTCTATGTTCCGCACTCACACCTGCACGACCGAACCCAGCCCGGCCTGATGACATCATCACACTGCGCTGTTTGTTTACATGGCAGCAGAGTGAACGCTTTAGCGGAGAAAAAAAGTCCAGCAGCATAAATATCTATTAAATAGTGAGACAGATGTGAGTCCTGCTGCGATACACTCGTCTGTGAGTTTACAGAGATAACAGCGCGGAGGACTGAGGACAGGAGGAAACGAGGCTGCAAAACTTTTGTCATCGTCCACAGTCTTTATTCCGGGTATCCTTAGGATTCACTGTGTTTTAGAGTGGAGTTTATTCATCGTTTTCCTTGCATGAGTAACATCAGCGCACCTGACACGAGCAACCGTGCTGCGTTTTGGGCTACCTCCTCCAACCGGGCCAAAGTCCCAATGGTGTCGTGCCTGTGCAAGATTCGATTGTGCTCACACTGGACAAACTTTGGGCGATTTATTTACTTATTGGTAATTTTCAGGTTCTAGTATTGGATGTTGTTATACTCTCATTTGGGGGCAGGTGCCAGTTTTTGCTAATAATAATTAATCACATTGTACTTTTCCATGAAATATCCAAAAGGTAAATTCACAAATGTTGAACCTGATCATTTCTATTTGTGTCTCGACCAAAAATCTGCACTTTCTCTATTAAAGGAGATATTATCCATGGAGATGTTGTTGCTTTGTCTGGAATGTGTCACAGTCTGGCATTAAACCTTTCTATCTCCATGGAGACCAAACCAGACCAACGTTAAAGGTCAGATCTGTGGAGAGGCGACCCCGCTCACAGTCAGAGCACCTGTTTTCTAAGTATTTTTGAGCTATAAAACCACCTGTGATTGAATAAATGTAAAGTAGAACTGTTTAAAGTCACACTATGGAACATTCAAACAAGCAGGGGACAGACCCACCACCAGAAAAGTTACACAGTGCACCTTTAAACAATATCAGTCTATAGAATGTTGTGTTGTGTTGTGAAAGCCGGTCATACTCACTGTCCCTTGATCTTGGACACGTGCTCGGAGATGCAGGAGTGGATGTCACAGTTCTTGCGGTAAACCTCGGCGAGCAGCTCTCCGAAGTATCTGGTGTCCAGTTTGGTGGGCGGCGGCACCTCCGTCAGGCAGGTCTTCACCTCCGTCCGCGAGATCTTCTCCAGGACTGGAGGGGCCTTGTTCTGAATGACGTTCACGATCTCAACCTCCTCCAACTCCACGGTCTCTTCCTCCTCCTGAAAGACACGACGAAAGACACCGTTTGAGTTTACTCAGGGAAACTGTAGCTCAGCTGACATGGAGTGTTTCAAAAGTTGGCAGTTCAAATCTCGTTCTTGACATAAACATCATTGAGCTAGTGAGCAGTCGAAAGTGTCAGGTATAAAAACAAACTCTTGGGATGAAAAAAAGAACCTAATAACATAAACATCATTGGTTGAGCGGCAAGATCCACTGAGCCAGAGGTTGGTGGTGTGATTCCAGCTCCCACAGATGAATGACTTTGTGTTCTCGGGCAAAACACTCAAGCCCCGTGAATGCTCCCCGTGAATGTGTGCAAATGGGTTAGTAGTTCCTTGATATAAAGTGCTTTCTTTGAGCTTGGAACGTGAAAAAGTGCTATAAAAATGTGACCATGTACCATGTACAGTGGTTTGATTTTAAGGTATTCCCACTTTACAGATATATTGTATAACATATAAGTCCACAGTGTATATTCTGCATGTAATTATAAAGCACTTTAATGTGAAACAATCAGGGTTAACATGCATGACCTGGCCTCTAAAAGTTGTGAAAAGCAGTTTATAAACTCATTGTGGTTAATAAGTTAAGTGAGGAATAACTTTGGACCACTACAAGAAAGTACATCTCCTTTAATCTTACTGGCATTAGAGCTGGATATCATCAAGAAGTTGCCGATACGATACATACCTCGATACAGTGCACTTTTGATTCCATATTTCGAACCGATTCAATATGGTTCCATAAAAAAATAAATGCTAAATCATGTCTGTGTTAAACAACTTCTTGTGCAAAGTTAATATGAAAAACGCCCATTTTATTCGTCAAAACTGTGAAAATGTCAAATGTGTCACATAGATTAGTTTCCTTCTTCTGAACAAACAACAAAACTGTAGCTGTAACAAAATAATTTAGTAAAATATACCAAAAAATACTCTTGGCAAGTATCAGCCCATATCGATACTGTATCATCACATTACACAATACGTTATATCGATTTTTCGATAAGAAATTCAATTCAATTCAATTCAAATTTATTTATATAGCACAAGAAAGTACCATACAAAACAAACAAAAATAATATCTTAAATTTATGAATATAATAATCTGTTTGTAAGTATTTATTTAGTCTGTAAATGTCCTGTAGACAGTGTTGGGAAGGTGACTTTTAAAATGTATTCCCCTACAGATTACAGATTACACACACCAAAATGTAGTTTGTAACGGAATCCAATAAATTACTTAATGAGTAATGTAATCTGAATACTTTGGATTACTTGATATTGCCATGTTTTTTTTTTTTAAACTACATGAATGTAACAACCACATCCTGAAAAATCTTGTTTGTTTTCTTCAAATTGTCTGTTGAGCCCAAGTTTCCATGAACAGACTTTTGTTTTACTGTAGAGAAACAAAGACAAAGATCTTAACATGAGAAGTTTTGTTTGCATTAAGAGAATAAAAAGTCCAGTCTTTACTTAACCAGATTAAAAATATTATTGATAGAGAAATATTTTTTATATGAGATCACTGCTGCTTTAAATTATGTCCACCTCCTGTTAGTGTCATTTTGTTTAGACCTGGTTTAGTCCTGGTTTAGTCCTGGTTTAGACCTGGTTTAGACCTGGTTTAGTCCTGGTTTTAGTCCTAATTTATTCCTGGTTTTAGTTTTAGTTTAATCCTAGTTTAGTCCTGCTTTTAGACCTGGTTTAAAATGTGAAAACAGGAAAATACCGCCATGTAATCCATTTATTACTTCTAATTTGTACTCTGATTACATAACTCCGGTACATGTAATCTGTTACTCCCCAACACTGCCTGTAGAAATATAACTTTGTACTGTGCAGTGAAAGGGTTTTGTAGAGCAGAGGATTTCATCAAGCAGCATTTCATTTTTCTTTTTTTACTACTGTATACACGATTCCTCCCTCTGGCTATTATTCCAAGACTCGGTTTACTGTAATCTTCATGTTTCATTTTGTAGAAAAAAATCCTCACTGGCTCATTTGCATCTTAGGTGAAACGTTACAGGGCTCATATTTCTGTCACCGGTGCAGACGTTTTTCATTGTCGTGTTGACATAATGAGTGTCATTAAACAAGACGTCGGAGCTGCCGTGATGTAATGTGTGAGAAGATTTTACAAATATGGAGCTCAGAGTGAAATGTGGTGGCTGCTCGTGCCCATTTTAAACCCACTTTAGCTCAGCGTGTGGTTTGGAGCAGAGTTCAGACTTTGGAGGAATAAATTTTACACTTTTTATGGCAAAGATTAAAGGGCCCATATAATGTTTTACTTTATGCTCTCTTATAAAATGTTATTTCCTCCTCACAAAGAGACCTGGAGTTGTGTTTTGTTTCATTCACACGTTTAACACACAAATCCTGGATATTTAGGCTATTAGTTCTTCTCTGTTCCACCTTGTGATGTCATGTGGTAATGCAGGAAGTGCTCCACTGTGTTCTGTTTTTAAACTCCATACACCTTCACTAGAATCATTTAGATCATTTTAGCCCTGCAACTTAAAAATCTCTAATCAACAAAAGATAAAGGGTCGTTGTTCACTTGAAAACTACCGCTTCATGACATCACAAGGTGTAACAGAGTATTTTGAGCTTTGGAGATGTTGACAGACCAATGGCAAGGCAAGTTTATTTGTATAGAACAATTCGTACACAAAGTAATTCAAAGTGCAATAATAATAATAATAATAATAATAATAATAATAATAATAAAGAGTTACTCAACGTGTGAATCGTGTCATCGTTTTGCAAAAGCTGTGGTTTGTTTGTCGACACGAAAACACAACACCGGTGTTCTCAAATTTCTCCACTCTGGAACCCGTTCTCAAAAATCACAGTTTTCGCCCACACGAAACGCCGGCTCAGTGTGAACGAAAGACCAAAACAAATACAAACTTCACTTCACTTGTCGTGTGGACGGGCCCTAAGTTACAAGTCAGAAAGCCTGTTTTTTAAAGTATTTTTGAGCTATAGAGATCACTAAATTACTCAAACATGCTTGGATGAGATCTAAAACCTCTTCAGGCGTGTTTTTTTGACGAGGGAACAATGTTATAATATGATAGAAACCTAAACTAGTGTAAAAATATTGTTAGGAAATGTTGTATTGTGTAACTTCTGGTGGAGGTCCATCAAATGCTTGTCTCCACAGAGATATTATTGCTTTGTCTGGAATGTTTCACAGTATGGCATTAAATGATCTGTTTTCTGTCTTCATGGAGATCAAACCAGACCAAGTTACAGGTTAGATCTGTGGAGAGGCGACCCCGCTCACAGTCAGAATGTTTTTCTAGGTATTTTTGAGCGATAAAACCACCTGTAATTGAATAAATGTAAAGTAGAGCTGTTTAAAATCACACTGTGGAACTGGTCTTGATCTAGTCCTGTTTCAGTCCTGGTTCAGTCCCGGTTTAGTCCTGGTTCAGTCCCGGTTCAGTCCTGGTTCAGTCCCGGTTTAGTCCGGTTCAGTCCTGGTTCAGTCCTGGTTCAGTCCTGGTTCAGTCCTGGTTTAGTCCTGGTTCAGTCCTGGTTCAGTCCCGGTTTAGTCCTGGTTCAGTCCCGGTTTAGTCCTGGGGTTCAGTCCCAGTTTAGTCTTGGTTCAGTCCTCGTTCAGTGCCGATTTAGTCTTGGTGTAATCTTAATTTTAAATTTAATCCTTTTCTAGTCCTGGTCTGGTCTTGGTCTTGTCCTGTTTCAGTCCTGCTTTAGTCCTGACCAAACCAGACCAAGTTACGGGTCAGATCTGTGGAGAGGCGACGCTGCTCACAGTCAGAATGTAGTTTTTTCTAGGGATTTTTGAGCTGTAAAACCACCTGTAATTGAATAAATGTAAAGTAGAGCTGGTTAAAGTCACACTGTGGAACATTCAAGGCAGAAAAATGACATATCCGTAGAAACAAGCAGGTGACGGACCCACAACCAAAAAGAATTACACAGTACACCTATAAAAAAAAAAACATAAGACAACAACAAAAACTCGACTATTTGTGCTGAATCTGTGGGAAACGCTGAAACCTGGGCGTTGCCATGGAGACGCGGGCCCATCCCAGCGCCGGTCCACCTGCCGCACATTCCTGAAGGTCTGAACGAGGCCACGCCTGAACCTTATCTCTCCCTCGGCTCCCTCTTATGTAATGTGTGTGTTATCTAACTGTGGCTCTTTCACTCTCACCTGTCCCACAAAAACACACAAACGGAAAACACAAAACACTCGACAAACGACAAAACGACAAAACACGTGCACCAGCGACAGGACGATTAACGAGGATTTCAAAACACGTGCACTGGTGGTTTCCTCTGCAAAATGAATCACAATCAAATGAAAGTCACAATAAGCAAATCAAAAAAGCTGCAATTTTGTAAATTATTTCCTCCACAAACAATATAAAACATAAAAAACTGCTGTACAAATGTTCTGAAATGTGATTCTGAGCTTTTGTTTCAGTCTTTTTATCAATTCTTCTGGACGTGTTTAAAGTTTATGCTTTATGCTCTTGTATAAAGCTGAGATTTTTGAGATGACTTATTTTTCTGTTTTATTTTGATTTGCACATTTACATTTATATTATTATGTCTTATCTGAATTGTGTCTCTTGGCCCTTGGACCATTTATATATTTTTCTCTTTTTTAATATATTATATTGTGATGTGTGACTCCTGGGTCCAAATCATTTCCCTCATGGATCAATAAAGTTTGTCTAAGTCTTAGTTCAAGTATAGCGACTAAAAATGGAATGGTGCGTTTATGTTGCACTACCACATTACTTTTGTTTTATTTAACCAAATTTGTGTCGGTGTGTGTGGTTGGGCTTTTTTTTGTTGTTGTTTTGTATTTGTTGTGGGCATTGCTTTATGCTATTGTGTTTGGTTTTACGTTGCTTATTGTATCTTATTAAATGTTATATTCTGTTGTCCTTAAAATGCGAAACTTGAACAGAATCCTTTTATTAAAACATCTATTGCAATGTTTTTAT